ATTTGGGGAAATGGGGGCCAGGGTGAGTGGGGGGGAAATTTCGGGAGGCAGTAGGTAAAATAAAAGGGGGATAAGGCAGCCGGGATTGAGGGGATAAAGAAGAAATGTTAAAAGCAGGGGGGGATATATTTTTGGGAGGGGTTTGGGTGAAATTTTTTTTAAAAAATGTAGGAAAAGGGGTAACCTGGGGTTTTGGCAGAGAGCAGCATATTCCTTTTTATAAAGGCAAGGGGGGACAAAAGAGAGTGCAAAAATTATGGGGGGATAAGTCGTTATATACCGGGTAAATTGCATGGTAGAGTTATTTTGAAAAATTTGAGAAACGGAAATGGATACAATGAACAAGGAGGTTTAGAAAGGGGGGGGTGTGGGGACCAGGCTTTTACAGTGAAACAACAAGTGAACAGATTAGATAAGGAAAAAGGGGTTTTTGTGGCATTTAGGGTTTGGAAAAGGCGATGACAGGGTGGATAGGGGGCAATGTCAGACATGCGGGGTGTAGGTGGGGAGAAGGTTTACTGAAAGCATGAAGAGTTTTTTACGAGGAAGTGAGGCCAAGTTGATATTAGAAAGAGGGAGTTTTTTTCCCATAAAAGTGCCTTAGACAAGGAGTGTATACACCGTGGTTGTTTTAAAAATTTTATAGAGGGGGTTGTAAGAGAAGTAAATGCAGGGCCCTTGGCAAAGGATGGAGTTAAAAGATAAAAAATCACACCTAAAGTGGAGTTTCACATTTGCCCTTTGCTGATGACACTGTCTTTGGAGATTCTGAAGAAGTTGCAGAGGTTGGTGGTAATTTTTGGTAGGGTACCAAAAGAAAAATTAAAAGTGAATACAGGAGAAGAAGGTTATGGGAAACAAAAAGTTTTAGGTATGAAAGTTGGAAAAACAAACGAGGGAAGAGTATGGAGGAGGTGAAGTATTCAATATTTGGGAGGGACGTGTCAGGGGATGGTCAAAAAAGAAGAGGTAATCATAGAATATGGGGGGGAAAAGGGGAGGGGTGCACTTAGGACTGTGGAGAAAAAGAACTTTGTCCTTGGAGGCAAAGGGGAATGTATGGAGTATAGTTTTACCAAGGGCCCCTTATATGGGTGTAAAGCATGGTGATGAATGTTGAAGCGAGGAGAAGGCGGGAGGCAGGGGAGATGTCATGTCTGAAGCAATTGGGGTGAAATAAGCAAAATTTTCGAATTTTTGGGAATTTGGGAGGGGGTGCGGATTACCAAAACTTTTGTCCAGAGGCTAGGGGGGGGGGGGGTTGAGGGGGTTGGGACATGTAGAAGAATGGAGCGAGACGAAGACTTCAAAAGTTATCGCTGTAGGGAAGAAGGGGGGGAAAGGGTCAGCCTGGGAAAAGGGTTTGGAGGGGGGGGGTAAAGGGGGTTTTTGTGCGAGGGGTTTTGGACTTCCACAGGCATGCGTGACTTTTTTGATAGGGGGAAAGGAGACAAAGGGTTTTTTAAAAACTGACTGCTGTTGGGTGTGAGCAAAGTAACATTT